CCTTTAGACCCTGAAGGGTCAGACTCGTATCGGAAAGAAATGGTCCTTTAGCTACTATGGGCCCAAACCACTTAGGGATTTAAAAGGTGGTCAGAGGTTATGTTTCCATGGACTTCCCCATGCAAAACACATTGCAGCAAAACCAATCTGGCCGTAAAGAAGGTCTATGTCATCATGGCTGGGTCCAACCTTCCTAATTTCTATTAAATGCAATTTTAAGTTTTAGGCTGGCTATTTTTAAAAAGAGAGAAGCTTGGCATAACTGAACCACATTAATGGAAAAATTCAATAAACTTTGAAGAAATATTTTTTCCCAAGTTAGCTGTCTGGGTAATAGAGATTCAGAGGTCTATGAGGAAAACACTGGGGGGCGGGGAGAGGAAATGTCACCTTGCCCTCCAGTGATAAAACTGATAAATTAGGACAATAAAGAATTTTGTATTAGTGAAATCCTTTTTAAGACAACGGTTTACACTCTCAAAGAATGTGTTGCAAGAAGAGTTTTAGGTAATGCAATCAATAGCATTATAGAACGATACAGGCGTCCAACTTAAGTGCAATTGATTTGTGCATGAATCTGGAAATAGATTCAAACCAGGAAATGGCAAGAGAGCTGGAGCGTTCTTGTGGCTCCCCGGGAGCCCAAAGAGGACTTCAGGGATGGTGGAAGCTCCAGACACTGGAGGCACAGTGGGGCTTTGTTCAGGTCTAGCAGCTGATGCAGGTGGTAGCGCAGCAGCTGCTGCCACTTTCCATATGTCCTCCAGCCGGCAGAGCTTCTACTCTAGTTGAAAGGAAAGTTGATCGGGGAGAGAGTGGGAGTGGGGGGCGGGAATGGCATTTAGAGGCTTTTTAGAGGGTGCTTCCCATTTTCACTTATTCATGTGGGGGCCCAGAACATAACCCTCACATAAGTGTGGGACGCCTGTAGTTCTGCGTATTCTGTAGAGATATACAACACTTAGATCTGTGTGATGCAGCCTCTGACTCCTGTTATGTACATGCTTCAGACTCCTTCATGTGAAATAAACTGACCCATGTTTAGAATTCTCACACCAAATGATATAATCAAGATGTGATAGAAACATTGGTCCCATTTGTGCAAAACTCAACTTTTTTTGCCATCCATGGAGATAAAAATGAAGCCTCGGATTCAGGATCACAAGTTATTAATCATGGAGAATCAGATTCTGATTACAGATGCTAGTATTTATGGTACCGCAGAGCTTCAACTTACACATGATTTACTTATGCGATTGCAGCTTTGAATGAGTGGCAGAAAAATTAATAAATGGAGAGTAGGGAAAAGTGCCAGAAGCAACGTTAGGAATTCCTCAGGTGCCAGGCACATTTTGCAACTGCCGAGGGTCCAATTATGGCCATGTGGAGATCTCTGGATGCCAGACTGACAACTGATGTCTCCTTCTGGTTGGCCCCTCCAGCTTTCTTAAGCAGGTAAGGGGAGATTATTTACTGCATTTCTCTCCCACCTTTTTCCTCCAAGGAGTACACAGTTCACCCTCCTCAGTTAATCCCTACGAAAACCCTGTGAGGTAGGTTAAGAGGCTGCGCCTGGCCCAAGGTCACCCTGTGAGCTTTATGACTGAGTGGGGATTTGAACCCCAATCTCCCTGGTCCTAGTCCGACACTAACCACTACACCACACTGGCTTCCTAGAGGACTTCTGCTATGGGGCTTCTCTATAAATTAAGTAGGTAAACCACTTTGAGATTATTTTCTCAAAGTGGTATAGAAATGAAAATGATAATCATAATAACAATAAATTTCATTTTTTTAAAAATACGTTCCGTTATGGCAACCATAACTTAGGTTTAAGGTACCATTTGGTGATTAGCTGAGTTTCTATCATGGGTCGGAATGAGCCATCTCGAGATCTCAAAAGGCCTCATTAGATCTTGCATGACCTCCCTGGAGCTGGGTAAGCAAGACAGATTACTTTAAAAGCTTTTCCTGTGCCAGATTTTCCTGCCCAAAAAGGGCTTTTAAGCCCACCACCTTGCTTACTGGATCTCATGGGAGGCTCCCACAGCCTTCCAGAGGCCTCAAACCTTTCCAGAACCTAGTAATGCAGCCACGCAAGGGTGGTTCCAGGGGTCTTCTGGACTTTGCAAAGTTTTGCCTTTGCAGGCAAACCCTTGGAATGCAACTCCTATGCAAGTTGTGGGCTTACTATATTACTGTTTTGCATACTAGCATTTAAGGGTGTTTATGTGCCACAAGTAATATGCTGTGCTCTGCCCTTAATACCATGACAGCAGGAGACAATTTTGGTATAAATTTTATTGTAGCACCGTGCAGAAGTTTGGAGCACTCTTTCTCTAGGATTGGGAGTATTAATGATTTTGCTTGCCTTAATTTGGACATCCATACTTTTGAGGCTGCAGTACTATGTGTACAACTGGGAAACACTCCATATATCAGGGTAAGTCTGAGTAAACATACAGAGATAGGACTGCTTTTTAAATTTCATATATGGGCTAAATAGCAAAAATTATATATAGGTGGCAATTATTTTCTGTGCGCTTAAGTGATGCGTGACTGCTGACACATACGCTGTTTTCAGCCCCAGAAGAGGATAGAAGAGTTACATACACTCGGCCGACACATACAATGACCTGCAGTTGAACCCACACATAAATGGGGAGTTGCCTGTATGCCACCTCAGTTATAAATGCTTTTTATGCTACCAAAGTAGTGAAATAGCTTTAGGTGTGTCAGGAAGCAGTCAACTGCTTATATTTCAATGTGTAAGTTGGGTGTGCATGATTTTTATTTAATGGTTTCATAAATTTCCAAAAATGTTATACTCTAGCCACCACACACACAATAATAATTCCACATGACAAATACATTCCAAAGAGCGAAAAATCTTCTCAGCACCCACCATTCATTGTCTTGTGTATGCAGAAGTCGAACTTGATAAATATTGCTCTTCTTGATCTTGTATTTCCCATCATGGGTTTGTACCAATGGCAAAAAAGTTACGGTCCCATTAAATATATCTGTAAATATTTCACAACAGTAGGTTTTATTTACCTTTGGGAAACAGAGTAGTGTTTCAGACTTACGTAGCATACATCATATTGCTGCAACCTTTACAATAACATTGTAAGCAGGCCAACACCCTATTGTGGATGGTTGTGGAGGCTCTTGCCATTTGATGCTCAAGCCCTTTCCTAGTAAGGCCCAATGCTTAATTTCCCACCTGCGTTGAACATAGAAATACCCAGTGCTGCTAGTTAGCGGAGCCACACTGACACAAGGAAGCCATTGCAGTGGTAACTCTGGTTACATACTTAATTCGTTCCGGAGGTGCATTCTTAACCTGAAGCACCACTTTAGCTAATGGGGCCTCCCGCTGCCGCCGCCATGCAATTTCTGTTCTCATCCTGAAGCAAAGTTCTTAACCTGAGGTACTATTTCTGGGTTAGCGGAGTCTAACCTGAAGCGTATGTAACCTGAGGTACCACTGTAGTAATAAGGTGTCTCTGCCCACCAAGATCAAGCACATAGCTGATTTTTGAATTTACTGACTTTCTCTCTCTCTCTCTCTGTGATATATATATCCAATACTTTTCATTTTTGATGTTCTGAATGTTTTCTCTTTGCTTTGGGCCACTTTGTACAAAGCTAGGGCTCACCCAAACTTCCGCTTGCCACATTGCTTCCACCCGCCCCAAGAAACCTGCTTTTTACCGCTGAATCAGAGCAAACGTCAACTGGATTTTCCGCGGTTGGACGACTGCTCCCAATTCAGCAGCAAAGAGCGAGTTTTCCTGGGGGAAGTGGTGGGCCAAACAGGAAACTGCTCAGACCTGTGCTTTCTAGGCACGAGCCAAGTGGAACTGTGGACAAGCCCTTAGGGTTCTCCGCTTGCCCCGCACAGAGTGGCTCCTGTATACCTGAAGGAGCGTCTCTGCCCCCATCATCCAGCCCGGACACTGAGGTCCAGCGCTGAGGTCTGGCGGGTCCCTCGCTGAGAGGAGTGAGGTTACAGGGAACTAGGCAGAGGGCCTTCTCGGTAGTGGCGCCTGCCCTGTGGAACGCCCTCCCAGCAGATGTCAATAAACAACTATTTTACTTTTAAAAGACAACTGAAGGCGGGGAAGTTTTTAATGTCTGATGCTGTATTGTTTTTAACACTCGATTGGAAGCTGCCCAGGTGGGCGGGGTATAAATCATAAATTATTATTATTATTAGCCTTCCATGGCGGAAAACCTGACTGCCTTCTGTTGTCATTCAGCGCTAAATTTCGCGGCGGGGCATGCAAGCAAAGCCCCCCAAGCCGCCCCAGGTCCGAGCTCGCTCCGGGGAGCCGCAGCCGGCGCGAGGCAGGGCCGAAGCGGCCGCCCCGATCCCTCCTCCTCCCGCCCCGAAGTCACCTTTGACGACCATCTCCCTGGCGGGCGCGGGAGGGCAAGCCTTGGGCACGAGCGTCCGGAGCACCACCTCCAGCTCCTCCTCGGCGGGGCCGGCGAGGCCCAGGCCTTCGAAGTCCTCGCGGCAGCAGCGGCAGAAGGCCTCGCACGCGGCCTCCAGCGCCCGCCTGCCGGGGCTCCCCTCCCCGCCAGCCCCGGGCCGAGCGGCCCGCCAAGCCCCGTCCTGCCGGGCGCCGCACAGCCGCTTGTTGGCCACCTGGGGCTTCTCCAGCCACACGCCCACCGCCGCCCAGAAGCCCCCCGGGAGCAGCGCCGAGTCCCGCAGGGAGGCCTCCGCCAGCAGCTCCATGGCGGCCGGCGCGGGTTGACGACGTCACGTCCGGCCGAGGAGCTGTCCCCGCCCCGCTCTTCCGCTCCTTCTCACCCAGAGAGCTATGAAAAAGGTCAAGAGGAGCGGCGCGCTTTCCTTGCTCGTGGGGATATTCCGGGAGGAGTCGCTTGCAAGAGATAAGAAACCTCTTCCCCTTGGCACCATTTGGAGGAAGCCATAGCAACATAGCATGATGGGGGAGTTGGAAGGGACCTCCAGAGGTCATCTAGCCCAACCCCCGGCCAAGGCAGGAATCTGAACCAAAGCATCCACGGCAGGCGGCCATCCAACAACCAGGGGGCAAGGCAGGATTTCCATGTAACTTCACGGCGGCTGCAAAGCTTTCACCGCGGGAGAAAAGGCAGCCGCAGGTGCGGAAGTCCCGCGCGCGTAGCCCCGCGGTTCTCCGCGCCGCAAACCGCCCGGGGATCTTGGGGCGAGAGGCGGCGTCTCGTAAGTTCAAACACGAGTTGAGACCCACCAGAGGCCGATGCAGAGCCCGGGCGCGCTGCAGGAAGCCCGTTCCGTCCGGGGCCGGCTTGGATGCGCGCCCCTCGGGGCTCCGCGGGAGGCGGCGCTGGCGCTTCTGCGCGCGTCCCAGGAGAGGGTGGGGCGCGTTTCCCTGCGCGCGTGCGGGGCGGGGCGCGGAGCGAAGTCTGTCGCCGTCGGGGAAGGTGCGCAGCGCGGCGACCTCGCCTTTTCCGCGACCGTGGAGAGACGGTGGGTGCGGGTGCGTCAAGCCCCGGGGGCGTCGGCAGGGGCCTCCCACCTCTTTCCCCTTCGCGCAGAAAACGGCTGTTTGGCGGCGCCTCCCCCCCCCCCAGCCTCGCCTCCCGCTCACTTGCGCCCCTCGCCGCAAGATCCCCTCGGGGAAGGCGGAGGGGCGCAAACGCGTCGCTGGAAAAGGAGCCCCGGCTGGCTGCTGCGCCGGTGCTCCGCGGGGGCTGGGGGGCCGCCCTGCGCGCCTTGGCCGGGGAAGCGCCCTTGCCCGGAGTGGGAGCTGCTTGCCCAACGAACCTGTCCGATTGCGCAGTCCGTGGAAGTTGGACTCGGGCGCTGCCTTGCATAACTAGCGATTACCTGCTTATGAAAGCAATGGCATGAGAGGCAGTGGACGTGTCAACAGGCCCATAGACCAGCTGCTCCTTCTTGTATCTAAACACCCCTTGTAGCTTTCTTTGTGCAGGGTCGAAGTTTATTTACATTGACCAAAGACAGTTCCCTATCCAGTCAGAGAGAGAAAAGGGAAAGTTTTTAGCAGCAGCAACCTCTCTTTTAAAGGTAAAGGGACCCCTGACCATTAGGTCCAGTCGTGACCGACTCTGGGGTTGGGGCACTCATCTCGCTTTACTGGCCAAGGGAGCCAGTGTACATCTTCCGGGTCATGTGGCCAGCAGGACTAAGCCGCTTCTGGCGAACCAGAGCAGTGCATGGAAACGCTGTTTTCCTTCCCACCGGAGCGGTACCTATTTATCTACTTGCACTTTGACATGCTTTCAAACTGCTAGGTTGGCAGGAGCAGGGACCGAGCAACGGGAGCTCACCCCGTCGCGGGGATTCGAACCGCTGATCGGCAAGTCCTAGGCTCTGTGGTTTAACCCACAGTACCAGGAGCTGATAATGTACACTGAGAGGATGGTCTACACTGGCTCTGTTATCCTCTGCACAAGTAATTTTTGAAGGATTTCTTCTTTTTTGAAAAGGCTTTTGTTTTGAATGATTTTTGGGTTTGCTTACAGAACATTGCATGTTAAGATGGCATCTGTCAGTGATCAGGAAAAGGTCAGCTCTTGGAACACTTTGGTGCTCCCAGACCTACCCAGTGGACCGCTGGATGCCTACCGGAAGAAAGCATCCTTCAACTGGAAAGAGATGACACTCTTCGTAGAGGAAGAAGATCTGCTCCGTTTTAAAGTAAGGCTTAGAATAATATTTCTTTAAAAACGATGTTGCAAATTAAACACAATCTGCCATAACCCCCCTTAAAGTATCCAATATGTACCATTAAATTCTGGTTCCTGTGAGGCCTGTCTGGCCAAGGGATTCACATGGCCAGGGACCTTTTCTTAGGTCAAGAGAGCCATGATCCTTGATAAACAGGAATTTGAGGTGTTTTTGTTTTTGTCAGTGTAAATGGCCGTCCAGTAAGTTACTTTACATTTTGATAGGACTGAGCATGATGTTCATGCTTAAAGGGTTTTCCATCTAGGATTGGGTAAAAACAATATTCTCAAAAATATGGGAAGAGAGCCAGTGTGGTGTAGTGGTTAAGAGCGGTAGACTCGTAATCTGGGGAACTGGGTTCGCGTCTCCGCTCCTCCACATGCAGCTGCATGAAGTCTCTCAGCCCCACTCACCTCACAGAGTGTTTGTTTGTTGTGAGGGAGGAAGGGAAAGGAGAACGTTAGCCGCTTTGAGTCTCCTTCGGGTAGTGATAAAGCGGGATATCAAATCCAAACTCCTCCTCTTCTTTTTTTTAAGGAGGGGATAGATTTCTTTTGTATTGTGTTTTTGATCTGGAGGAAAACCACACAATTATATTAGTATAAAATTGAAATTGTGCACTTCTTTATCAGATCCAAACTTCTACTGCTTTTAGTGCAGTACATGAAATGCAATATCTATAATAATGATTCAAAGAGCTTTTAATCAGTGAGGCAATATTTGGCTGTGAACTTATTTAGTAATATTGCTTGTCATTTATTAAGTTTTAAATTGCTTCCTGATTGTCCTTGTACATTTCTTATGGCATAGGGAAATGACTAAATGTGTTAATATATAAAATATGAAAACTTCAATTCAATGATAAATTCAAATCTGACGTTCAACTATTCTGATGTGTTTCTTCCATGAAGAACAGAATATTCTCAGCTCTTGAAAATGACCCTCTCTTTGCTCGTCACACTGGAGAAGAATTACCTCTTGAGAAATACCGTGAACTAACCTTCCTCCGCTGTAGGAAACTCTTTGAATATGATTTTCTACGGCTAGAAGACATAATTGAGAAACCATTAAAAGTTGTAGCGCTGATTACTTGCCTGGGGATGTATGACTGGTCTCTGGGAGCCAAATATTTGCTAAATTCCCAGGTATGTACAATGCAGGTGTAAGCTCTTTTACAGAGCCTACTAGCAAAGCATTCCATGTTTATTTTGGATAAATATTTTTGGAGATTGCATCTGAGCTGCTCTATGTACACTTTTGATTTAGAGGCTATAGTGGCTTGACACTTTTTTCACGTGGTAATTGTAGTGAAAACTTCATTGCTTGAACATACACCCTCCACAATAGTCTATTGATATTTGTTTTTAATTTCTTTTTGCTTTTAAATTGCTTTTCACTTATTATTATGCCACTTATTATTACAGTCATACCTCTAGTTGCGTTCGCTTCATGTTGTGGATTTTGGGGTTGCGAACGTGGCAAACCCGGAAGTGTATACACAGCGTTCTGTGCGCTTCGCACATGTGCAGAAGCACTCTATTGCACTCCGCACTTGCGCAGAAGCGCCACTCTAGTTGCGGACTTTTTGGGGTGCGAATGGCACCCCGAAACGGATCGTGTCCGCAACTAGAGGTACCACTGTATCATTAGTATTGAATTTATATACCACCCTATACCCGGAGGTCTCAGGGTTGTTATTCTTGTTGGAAAACTAGCCCCCTCGGGAGAGGCTGGCCTCTCTCCCCGCTCCCGGAGCTTGTTTACCGGTGATCTTCCTCTGGCTGGCATCCCAGACAGACCAGGGAGATCTTGATAGGCCACATCTCCCAGTGGGGAAGATGCACGCCCCCTTCTCCCCTTTCACAGGGGAAAGAAGAATAGTCAGAAAGTCCTTTTACATCTTGTTTATTTCTGACTGTACAACTCTACAGAAAACATGTCCGATCAGTTCAAACTTCTCCAAGTAAGTGACTCAGACTTCCTTTACAAACGCAGCAGGAAGGTCTCATATTACACACTGAACAAAGCCTTGTGTATCCCGTGAACTGCCTGGAAGATTCTTTCTCAGGACTAGCCACATCATGTGATGTAAACAAGCTGCCAGTTTGCAGCTGCGATGTACTCATATTGTAACAATTCTTTGGTTTTACGGTATATTTTTATATGGTTGTAAACCATTGTGATATGTTTTTATGATACAGTGGTATATAAATATTTTTATAAATAAATAAATTTATAAAACTGGTATCAGAATTATAAACCATTATCTCATCATGTCATCTAATCATCTCACTGTGAGAAATGATTAAACTACTGTTTCTCTACTTTTATTTAAACCATTTCCCTGTGTTGATACAGAGCTTGATCAGATTCTGATAGAAGCTAACAGAATTGCACTGTCTCCTTTGGGTTTAAGCTAAGCTGTTTTTTGTCATACAGGAAGCAAAGCAGACATTCTACAAAACCTCCTAGTCGCTTACAGCAGTGATCTGAGCTGGCCAAGAAACCTTTAGGGTTAAGAAGCACCTAATGGTGTAAAGAGTTATGTAGAATCTTCCTAAAGTTCTCCCTTTTGGACAGACACGGATGGGGCCACACAGGCAGAATTCCCACCTGACATTCCATTACTGTTTTTCTTATCAGTTGCTTGTTGCCTAAAAGCAGGGCATTTTTTCCGGGGGAACTTACAGGAACACTGTTCTGGCACCTCTCAGGTGGGCGCCATTGCCATTCTAAGAGAACAAGGGAGGTGTTCATGGTGAGTTCTGGCATCTCTTTTTCTAGAAAAATAGCACTGCCTGAAACTTACTTTAAAATAAATAAATAAATGCTTAGGTCTGGCAGCTGTTTGGGCTTTTCTAAACCCTTTTAAACAAGTAGTATCATTATTCTGACACCAGTGGGCAGCAGTGCCTTGAACACAAAAGTCCTGAGGAATAGGAAGAACAAACTCTCCCCAGCTTCCCATTAGGAGGAGGAGGAGGCAGGTTGGGAAGACCTGAAACATGGCATGTCTCCTGGTATGTCCCATGGAGGACCTTATGGTCTTCAAACAGAAACATCTTGGAGGTCCTGGGCCACAGGGAGGTTAGGTTGGCCTCAACCAGTCAGGGCTTTTTGGCTGTGGCCCTGATCTGGTGGAACACTGTCACAAGAGACAAGGGCCCTGCGGGACTTGACATCTTTCCGCAGGGCCTGCAAGACAGAGCTGTTCCCCCAGGCCTTTGGCCAAGGCACAGCCTGACCCCCTCCTTTGATAATCCTCACAGAACTCTAGCCCAATGGTTGCCATTAATTTGGTTTGAACTGATTTTATAACGAATTAATTTTAGAATGCTGTATTATTTTACTGTTGTTAGCCGCTCTGAGCCCGGCTTTGGCTGGGGAGGACAGGATATAAATACAATATTATTATTATTATTATTATTATTATTATTATTATTATCATTATCATCATGGCAGTGGAAGGATTTACCTCTATATCCTCACTAGATCTTTACCAGAGCCTTTGCGTGTCAAAGGTTGAGAACGAACACATTCCATGTTTGATTTTATTGTGATTGTCCAACTTACTCAACAGTTCAATTCAGCCTCATCACCCTTTTGGGATCAATGGATGTGTCCTGGGGACATATTTTATTGGCTCCTGCCCTTCTTTTCATGTTGGGTGTGTGATCACATGCATCCTGGGTGTGGCCAACACATGCTTTTGGGACAGAGTGGTTCTGGTCATCTTGAAAGAGGCAGTGATACGGCCACTCCCAGAAAAAAATCACCCTGGGCCCATTGCCTTGTGACGACTACTGCCCAGTTACAAATACCCCCTTTTTGGAAAATTGATTGAGAGGGTTGTGGGATGGTGGCAAGTGCTCTAGGATGAAACCTGTTCTCTTCACCAGCTTTGAGAAAACATTGTACTATTGCTTAAGAATAACCCAGAGATCAAGGAATCATTCATTTTTATTTTCATTATTTCACTTTGCAGCTGAAACCAGGAGGAAAATTATTTTCTTGTAATGAAGTTGTGTTTCCTGATGCAGAATAGTGTAAAATATCACAGAATAGCATTTTCTCCTAGGAAGGAAGCAACTTAACCCTTGACTTGTGGTTTGAGATGTGAGCAGTGATGCTTTTCTATCTCAAATCTTTATTGAACATGTCATTTTGACCCCTTCCTCTACTTTAACAAAAAGGTTTTTACTATTTATCATTCACATCAGCTAATTGTCTTTAATGTTTACAGGTGTTCAAAAGTGCAATTGAGAGTTCTGGCTCTGAAAGACATGAAGAATTTATTAAAGATAATGCAGCTATGAAGGTACTTTTTAAACTGCCTAAATCGATCTTTGCTTTATAATACAGTATATATACTGCCACTAATTTTGAGTTAATGGTGTTTCTAAAAATAAGATTATTAGCTACGTATTCTAATGAAGCAATATCTGCAAATCTCTTGTAAAATAGTATCTCATATGGAGTTACTTCATTTTGGTTTACTACTGCTTCTCTGTTACTGTTGGAAAACCATAATTAAAGTTTCTTACAGTGGAAGTGATGAATTATCTGGATCAGTTTGCTTATTCATCATTTATGAAACTATTGCAGGATAATCAGCACCAATATCTAATACAAAAATTATAAGGCAATAGTTCAAGAAGTGCCTCACAGCATCAAATCAGCAGAGTGGAGTCCTTCAGCACAAAGCCACAAACATACCTGTCCGAAAGATGCTCACCTTGCTTCTGTTAAGGGTGATGCAGGTAGAAGCAGGATTCCACATGCATATCCTAAGCTGTATACGTCAATTCTGTGTGCATGACCCCTATTCCCACAACCAAACAGTTTTCAAAAGGTGTGAAAACAGGATGAAAAGCCTGTTGCCATGTAGATGTTGTTGAACTCCAGTTCCCATTAGCACCAGCCAGTGCAACCAGCAGTCAGGGATTATGGGAGTTGTAGTCCGGCAACATGTACAGGGCTGCAGAATCCCCACCCTGGCTTTAAAAAAAAATGTTCAGAAAGGGAAGAGAGCTGATCCTCCTTCTAAAGGACTCTATGCACACTCCTTTGGATAAAGCAAAGAGTTTTCTTTTAACTTCTTAAGGAAACTTTTTCATTTTGTGTTTTTTCACTGTTAATACATTGACTAAGCTTTGGATCAGGCATAGGCAAACTCGGCCCTCCAGATGTTTTGGGACTACAATTCCTATCACCCCTGAGCACTGGTCCTGTTAGCTAGGGATGATGGGAGTTGTAGTCCCAAAAACATCTGGAGGGCCGAGTTTGCCTATGCCTGCTTTGGATTTTGCTTGTTGCTGTGGTGACCTGGTGTTAACATTTACCTTTTGACTTGATCCTAAAGATTTGCACCTGTGAATTGTAATATAAACACTTAGCTCAGATGGGTGGGAGGAGAGGGAAAGGGGGTACTGCCCTGAGATTTGCAGATGAAAGGCGGTATCCAAATTTAATAAATGGCTAAAAATGATAAATACAGTACATTTCAGGGCTCACTTTAGAGCTGCTGCAGCCTCACAATAGCCATGCGTGGCCACCTGTCCCTAACCCAACATCATATGGTGCCAGGTGTGGGACAAGCACAGCCGTGGCTTCAAAGGAAAAATCAGGAGGCAGACGACACTCCAGATAATTCATTTGCGTTACGATGCTGCCCTGCTGCCAGCTGCTTCCAGGCAGGACCAGTTCCAGTCAGGAACTCTTTGACAGTAGCTGTAGTCCTTGCTGAAAGAAGGGTGCTGGCATTGCACTGGGTGCCAAATTTAAACAGCATCCTAATGCAAGCCCTGCAGCTTCCAGAAGGGATCAAAACTTCAGTTGAGAGCTCCTGAGTGGAACTGATCACGCCTGGAAGCATTTGGTATGCATTTCTGCAGAGATCAGATCCACCTGACAGGAGCTTGAAAGATGGGCACACCCCACACCTGTCAAATGCAGCTTGCAGAAGGTTGGCACCTCCTTGTCCTAGCCTGCCAGAGGAGATGAGCTTTCCGAAAGGGCAGCCGCTGGTTCAGTGGGTGACCTCTACCTGCTGCAGGGCAGTGTGCACACTCTGAATCATTTAAGGACTAGACTTCGAAGCTCACAGATGAACATCTTGAAGTTTGTAAGCTGGAGCTCCAGGGCAGCTCTTTTAGAACAGAGATCCCCCATTGCCCTAATGTTTACGCCACCCAGGTTTGAATTGTACAAGTTCTTACTCAGTTTGTGTCTTTTGTCTCCAGAACTTTGGATGTTTTGCTCTGACTGAATTAAGCCATGGCAGCAATACCAAGAACATGCGGACTACTGCTAGATATGACCCGACTACACAAGTTAGTAGCAGTGCCCTGTAAAGTTCTCTAATATTCTTCACTTAACTTTTTATTAAAATAGGACATTGTACTTCTGAACCCAGGTATTCTAATCTTTTCTATACAGTGGACCTGCAACTCATATGTAACCACAAACGTAGGCTCAGGTCCAATGGATGAATGAGGCACGGGAGAATTCCAACCTGAAAAGAGCTTTTTTTAGTCCTTTGCCTTGCTGGCTAGACTCTGAGAAGATGGCACAAGGGCCCTGAGATGCTTCCGGAGCCCTTGTGCAGTAAGCAGAGCGGAGGGCAAGGCCTGATCCAGACAGGCCACTGTATTGGGACCTGTCATGGGAAGTGCCCTACCCTACAACCTCACATTGCTGCTGGCAAATAGTTTGGAAAAGAGCTCCATGACTGTGGTGCAGTTGTAAAAAGAAAAATGCCTCTGTGGCTTTGTTTGAAGCCTTTCTCCTAAAATGTATGTATTGTTTACTCCTGTGAAACTATTTTCCATTGCGTTTCTGTCCTGCTCACTGAGGCTGCAGTCCTGTGCCCATTTAGTTCAGAGAAAGCCCTGCTGGACGCCAAGTAGACAGGGGTTGTGCTGCGACAGCACAGAACAGAGGTTGTCAATAGATTCATCCAACTTCATATTTCAGAGAAGATATACAGTGTGTTTAGAATTTTCTCCACGACTTCCTCGTACCTCCCCTTTCTGTATTCCAATTTCCAATTATTAATTCAGCAAATCCTCACCCTTATTTTTCATTTAAATTTTTAATCTTTCTTTTCTTTACTTAACCATTACCGCTAGAAACCACATAATTTCTAAACCAACGTCATTCTAACATTCATTAATTTTATAATGTTTCTTAAGATAGTCCTTAAATTTCTTCCAATCTTCTTCCACTGTATCTCTTCCCTGGTCTCGGATTCTGCCAGTCATTTCTGCCAGTCCCATATAGTCTATCACCTTCATCTGCCATTCTTCCAAGGTGGGTAGTTCTTGTAACTTCCAATACTTTGTGATGAGTATTCTTGCTGCTGTTGTAGCATACATAAAGAATGTTCTGTCCTTCTTTGGCACCAATTGGCCGACCGTACGAGGAAGTCGGGGAAGTAAGTTACAAGAAAATAAGGGATTGAAACTATACTTGTTTTTGGTTTTTGTTTGTTTGTTTTATTGTTCTGTTTTGCTTTTATATAATCTTTGAAACTTTAATAAAAATCTTTTAAAAAAAATAATAGAATTTTCTCCCCATCCCCCTCTTATCAACTATGTAGGAATTCATTATTCACTCACCGGATTTTGAAGCAGCAAAGTTCTGGGTTGGCAACATGGGGAAGAATGCAACTCATGCAGTTGTCTACGCACAGCTATATACTCCGGATGGCCAGTGCCATGGATTGCATTCCTTTGTCGTACAGGTGAGAATGAATTCATCTAAATCTAGAATATTGGAATAAGCCAAGAGCTTTTCCATTAACCTGGATCATTGGTGGCATTTGCCTATTACTATTTCCTAGTTGTAAACACTTTTTGTGGAACGGTCACTTGGGAATTGCATGAGATCACTCTGGCATCAATAAAGGTGTGTGTGGAGTGTGTGTGCTTAAAATGTGTCCCTCTTCAGGCAAACATCTTTCTACTGGGTATGAAAGGCTTGCAAGTGCCCTTGCCCTGCTTTGGCCAAGCAGAAAGTAATGTACAACCCAGTGCAAAACTAGATTTGCTCTCAGCATTGCTCCCTCAGTGTGCGTTTGGACAGTAGGTTCAGAGACACTGCAGCTGTAGATGAGCACAGCTCTGTGCTGCTGAGTCCTGTGTTACTTTAGACCCATGAAGATGGGGAGCATCATGTGCCCTTGTAGCAGATTAAAAAATATTTCTCTGAAGGACACCTAACAGTGCAATCGTACAATGAGCTGTGTACTGAGAGACATCGTGAGCCCCATAGAAGCGCCTGTGGGAAATGTGAAGTTTGTTGTGTATTGGGTTTTAGGTGGGTTCTCCCCACCCTAGTGCTGCATGGTTCCCAGTTACACTTATTTATGTGAGAGAAAGTGAAGGGGTCTACTTAGACACCCCTCTGGTGAGTACATTTCCCCCCAGCCTCCGATAACCCCAGGGGAGGAGAAGTATATTCACTGCTCAGCTTAGGTCTTGTCCCAGGGAACTATGTGAGAGCCCTTTAGATCATAGCTATATAATCCAACCAGTTGCATGCATTGAAACAGATGTGCACATTTTTCTAATTACAGTGGTGCCTCACAAGACGAAAATAATCCATTCCGCGAGTCTCTTCGTCTAGCGGTTTTTTCGTCTTGCGAAGCAACCCTATTAGCGGTTTAGTGGCTTAGCGGCTATTAAAGGCTTAGCGGCAAGACTCGCAAGACGTTTTCGTCTTGCGAAGCAAGCCCATAGGGAAATTCGTCTTGTGAAGCAACTCGAAAACGGAAAACCCTTTCGTCTAGCGGGTTTTTCGTCTTGCGAGGCATTCGTCTTACTGTATCACTGTAATTGTATAGAGTTCTGAACCGGAACAAAAAGGTGGTTCAATGACTTCTTGTAAATGTTTTAATGGAGGCATTTGTTACAGATCCGAGATCCGAAAACGCTTCTTCCCATGCCAGGGGTGTTGGTTGGTGATATAGGTAGAAAACTTGGGCAGAATGGATTAGATAATGGGTAAGTTTAAACCAAAATACTCTGAACTTCAAAGTAATGTTGCAAAAGTTACAAGTCACTTCTGCAGACCTCGAGAACAGAAATCCTAGCATGTGCATCGCACAGTGAAAGGTTGATCTGTCCCAGTCTGAGATGGTTCAAGCACATTGCCGCATCATTGTGTGCCATTATATGAAAGAGTGGAGAAAAGCTTTGGAATCGCACAGTCATCTCTGCTCCCTCTCAAGGAATGATTGCAAAACCCAAACATTTTTTCAAAGTTAACTAAAAGATAGTCTAAAGAGCAGAAATATTCCAAATTGGAGAGTGGTACAATTAATTCAGGACGCAGGTGGCGCTGTGGTCTAAACCACAGAGCCTAGGGCTTGCCAATCAGAAGGTCAGCGGTTCGAATCCCTGCAATGGGGTGAGCTCCCGTTGCTCGGTCCCAGCTCCTGCCAACCTAGCAGTTCAAAAGCACGTCAAAGTGCAAGTAGATAAATAGGTACCGCTCCGGCGGGAAGGTAAACAGTGTTTCCATGCGCTGCTCTGGTTCGCCAGAAGTGGCTTAGTCGTGCTGGCCACATGACCCAGAAGCTGTATGCCGGCCCCCTCAGCCAATAAAGTGAGATGAGCGCCGCAACCCCAGAGTCGTCCATGACTGGACCTAACGGTCAGGGGTCCCTTTACATTTACCTTTTACAATTAATTCAGTAATGCAGTTTCATTCTATTGTATTTGAAGGAACAAGACCACAAAGCAGAAACAATTCTAGGATCAAAAACTTTGGCTAGTAGAAAAGCTAAGGGCTGTGCAAACCCATTCATATGCCAAAAAGTATGGAGATTGTAAGTTGTCCACCTTAACTTCCACACCACTTGAGCAGTAAAGATGTTCTGCAGACTCTCTCCTTCTTGCCTATGGCTTAGACTCCCTGCAGTCAGGTGCTCCCTTGGCCTGTCAGCAAATGCTCTGCCTCTGCAGGTTGGGTGGACAAATGTCTGAAGTGCACAGTTCCCGCATGTGCTTATAAGCCCACCAAGCAAAACTATCCATACATGTTGTTAAACTACCACATAGTGGCCTAGTGGCACAGGACTACAGCTGTGTCACAAGCACAAAGCAAAGGCTAAAGCGCGAGCAGAATGCATAACACAAGCACACTGCAGATTAACAGATTGCATATGCACAGCCTATTATTGACAAAGATTTAACAGGTGTTCTAGAAAACCCTCATTTTATAGGTTGGAAGCACTGAGTTGAAGAGTCTGGTCCCAAGGATGACCGGCAAAGCTTCAAAACAAATGCAAACCAGATTGTGTGAGGAAATAAACCAAGACACCGACTGTGGATTATTTGTGGAATTTACATTCTAGAAAACACGCGTTGCTCACTGTCACTTCCTTGCGTTACACTCACGCGCATATGCACACACACACTCCCATCACCTACCAAGAGACAATTGAATTGTGCTGCACATAGTTTTCCTGATTGCTTCCTTTAAAATGATTCAACAAGTAAGTTGTAGCAGTGGTTACAGCTGTTAATGGGGAACAGTCCCCTCCTGCAATTTTCCCATATTTTCCCCTGAGCCTTCACATCTCCAGGGAGGCCTATAACCAGAACTGAAATGTAAGAATGATAGAGTTAAGTCACATGGAGCCAACCCTGTGCCTCCAGATGTTGAACTCCTGTAACCCCAGCCACATGGCCAGTGGTCAGGGATGATGGGACTTGTAGTGCAACAGGACCTGTTGACTGCAACCGAAAGTGCCCCATGCAGCGTGATCCTGCTGAGGAGTCCCCCTGCAGCTGTTACTCTGAGAGGAGAAGCAGACACACTAAATGCATTCATGCATTTAACATCATGTCTGCTCTTGGGTCTGTGAAACTAATAACTGTCTCTGTATTCAGCATTTGATTTATACAGCTCATTGGACGCACAGGTGTTATCTCTTAATTTATTCTTTTTGGATTGGCAGCTTTGCAATGTTCCACAATGTCAGGATACCCAAAAGGAACTTGCTGAACCACACTGGAGATGTCACAGCTGAGGGAGCGTATGCAAGTGCCTTCAAGGTATGAATTGTGCTTAACTAACTTTCGTGTGCTTAATGCAAAACTTAATTGCTCTTAACTAAGGATTCCTTTTATTGCCTAATCCGTTTAGTTCTTCCTCACATGCTCTCCAGAGTTTATCGCAGTATAATTCAGAACATAAACACAATATTATACTTTGAATGTTTACACTTGGTGTACTTGGGGAGAATTTGCCGGGTACAAAATGTTCAAACAAATCCTTAAAGCCTTTCCGCTTATCCTATCTTATTTCTCCAGGATCGCAAGCAGCGTTTAGGAGCTTCTCTTGGTGCTTTGTCCAATGGAAGAGTTATGATTATATCCATGTCTGTGGTCAATTTAAAACTCGCCATATCAATAGCAATTCGCTTCTCAGCTACCCGGCGCCAATTTGGACCAACAGATGATGAAGAAATACCTGTTCTTGAATACCAAATGCAGGTGAAAATCAGATGTCTTCTAAAAGTCAGATAATTGTTTATTTCCTTGACATGTGGTGGGAGGGTGTTCCACAGGGTAGGTGCCACTACCAAGAAGGCCCTTTGTCTGGTTCCCTGTAATCTCACTTCTTGCAATGAGGGAACCACCAGAAGGCCCTCAGAGTGATCGATCACTGGAAGAAGGTTTAGAAAATTACCCCTTTTACAAAGGGGGGGGGAAATGTCTCCTCTGTGTGTTTTAAAAGTGTTTTAAAAGGATGTGTATCTCTCAGTTTTTCCTCATGCAAATTTCATTTTTGTTCCAGCAATGGCGCTTGCTGCCGTATTTAGCAGCCACCTATGTCTTAGACCATTTCTCCAAAATGTTGTTCATAAACTCCATAGAATTCCACATGGGTCTCCTCATGAAGGACAAAAGTCCACAGCAGGTAAGGATTTGTCAGTAATTCTTCGTTATAAGCCATTGCGTGGGAAATGGGTTGGTCCGTTATTGGACTGGCAGGATTCAAGCATCCCGCTGCCTGAAGAGTGTGCCTATTCTGCTCACCAGAGGGCTCTAAACGCTTTGCAGCCCAGAATATGGCAACTTGCACCCCAATTTCATGAGAGGAAAACAGTAACTATATTGCCAGCCGTGGGAAAATGCACAGCACTGTTGCCTTTCTGAATATGAGCAAAACACCCAGTTCTGTATGCACAACAAATTTCACAAATATAGCCTATTGTTTCTTCAGTGCCTTCTTTTTATATAAAGTTTTTTATTAATGTGAAATCAAAAGTACAGTTAATAAAGTACATAATCAAAGTTACTCAACATAGGAGCAGTACAAAGGTTGTATTTTCCAAATAAATAGTGAGAAGATAATGCAGTAAAGAAGAACACATCACGAAAGCCAAATTTTATTATTTGTTGGGGAAGAGCATCTTGTAATATCTGAATTACATTTTAATTAACTGTGAAACGGGTTTTTTCTTGTTTATCTTTAAACATTTTAAATTGTTCTTAATGATACATTTAATATTCTTGTAAACTGCCTAGAGGTTTTACCGTATTACAATCAAGCGGTATCTAGATTTTGTTAAATAAAAGAAATAGATGAAACACGTTAGTCTTGGTTTACCTCAACTGAATCTCCTCCTCTTTTACATTCCTTCTGTTCTTCCCTCATGCATCTTTCATTTATTCTTTAAAACACATCACTTGTAAGCATGAAGGAGGGGCACTGTTGTTGCTAGGCTTTTAATTTCTTTTAACTGCATCTATAAATTTAATAGTACAGTAATTTTACAGTTGAGCCCTTTTGGGGGCAGGGAGGTGTTGCGTGTTCTAAACGCACAGGCACTGAGCTGTATTCTCTAAAGAGCAGGAAATTGCTAGTACGTTTGTTGGTAATCCTGCTTGTGCAGTTTCCCACAGTTGTTGGCAGTCCTTTTTTCCTTAAAAAAATGTTTAGGGGTACTCTCATTTTCCTACTCATGTTGAAATACTGCCCCTTCATTGAGGCCAAACTTAGATTCACAAAATGTTGAGGGGTATGTGTACCCCCAAGTCCCCCTCCAGAAAAAAGCACTGGTTGTTGGTAACCCAGAAGCCTGCGCAAAGAGGCTTAGAGTTGAGCATTTACGTGAGGGGTCGGCAACCTAAGGCCCATGGACCACAAGCGGCCCACAGGGGTTGTTTAACTGGCCCACGAGCCGAACCGAGCCGCTCGCTTGGCGAGTCCCCGCGTGCTGCGCTAAACCAGCATGGGGTGGGGAGTTTCTTCCACATTGCTGGAAATCACGTCTGTGCAGATGCCGAAAATCGCCGGTGCTCACGCACACGATCCGGCCCACAGAGGGATCTCCGCTGGAGTGAACCAGCCCAGGCGAGGTAAACCTTGCCAACCCCTGATTTACGTCCTTGGCCTCTGTCATAGCTGCTCTGCTCTGTGCTGAAGTTTATGGTTCCTCAGGCCTAGGAGGACCCAGAAGGTTAATGCAGCATGTTGGCTGTTGTGTTCTATATTCATTGTTCGTTCTGGTTCTACAAGGCGGAACTCGGGCGTGAAATCCATGCTTTATCTACTTCGGGGAAACCGCTGGCCTCCTGGCTGACTCAACAAGGAACTCAGGAATGCAGAGAAGCTTGTGGAGGACATGGCTATCTGGCCAGTAAGTGAACTTGACGGATAATTGTTTCCCATAATTGTCAGTAAGTGGTTTTATAAAATTTAAATCACAAGCACAGCTCACTGATACAAGGTCCCTACATGTTAACTGTTCTTTCCAAAAGTGAATCGGCTGGGTGATATCCGTAACGACAACGACCCAAATTGCACCTATGAAGGAGACAATAATGTTCTGCTACAGCAAACTAGCAACTACTTATTGGGCTGGATGAACGCCAAACACCAAGGTTAGTATGTAGAACTTGGATGTTGCACTGACTCAGAAGCCCACCAAGTGGAGACGGGGTAAAACTGCCAGCAGATGCCGTTGTGTGTTTGCAAAGTTGAACTACTGCATTCCTATCAGTGTTTCTGTTGAAATGGTGGTCAGCACTCAAGCACCCTGTTTTTAACTATTCTTAGTACTGTTTTGGGTCACAATGACCTTACTTGAACTCTTAATTTGAGTTCATTGGACTCCGTAGATGCAAATGTTAGTGTCTTGACAGTTTATTTAGAGATGCGAGAAACCTCCCAATCAGAAACTGAAATATTTCCAAAAAAGCAGTGTAAGCAGAAATCCAGAAGTCCACAGTTGGGTGATGCCTTTTCTAGAACGGACCCAAAAGTTATAAGCTAGGCTTTGTTTTCTCAAAGAGTGTGTGTAAGCTGCTATCAGTAGCACCCGGTATGGGCTTAACTCATCCTGTGGTCTTTGTTTGAACAAGCTTGGTTTTCCCTCCTCTCACTGTTTTGCATAACAGCTTGCCATATTTTTGTGACCTTTTTGCTTGATTCTGATAAAGGCAATGCCCAACTGTGGGCTTTGCGGTCTTGATGTATTTTAGATGTTTCTCATGGAATCTGGTTCAAGATCTAGCTTGGACCCCATCCTTGTTCCTTCTGGCAGGTTTCGGACTTTCACTGAGGGTGACCTGTAACTTTGCTGCCTCACAACTAAGCATGCAGCATGATTTTTAACATACATTGGTGTGGGTACTTAATTAGCACCCATAATATTCTGTGGTTTGGGAACCTGGGTCAACTCTTCTTGAACTCATCCCAAGCAGAATAAAAACAAGGTACTCAGCGTGAAACAGTAGTCTGTGCTCCCTGGTGTCCTCAAACAACAGAACAGCAGTCTAATTGTCATGTGAGAATACCAGGGAGGGCTGACTACTGTTTCACGCTGAGTACCTTATTTTTATTCTGCTTAGGGTGAGTTCAAGAAGAGTTGACTCAAGTTCCTAAACCAATTAACTTAAAACGTATTTTGAATGTGATGCAATTAGGCTAAGGAGTGCACAGTTGTGCATCATGTGCAAAGTACAGGTTAATAGAGGTTGTTTTTAAGGCTTCCAACTTAGAAATAAAAGGGCCGTGTCTCAGAAGCATAGATGTGTTAAAAAGTTTGCTTGGTTGAAGTTGGAGAAATGGGGGAAACAGCTTAATCAGATTAGCCACGCTGAATGCACCGATGAGCAGATTTTTGACTTGCATTGACTTTCAAAGCCATTAGTGCGTAGACATTAACACACTTTGACTTGGTATTTAGTTTTCGTATCATTGGCATTTCAGACAAAGGTCCTATTGCTTCACCATTGGGATCGGTAGATTTTTTGGAAGACTGTGATCATATTCTCTGCCAGAAGTTCACAGTGTCAAATGTTCAAGACTGCATGGATTCTTCTGGTAACTGTTCAAATTGCATCTCTTGTCATGTGCTTATAATTTTGAGTGTGGCCCCTTTCCCCTACAAACCACTGACTATTCTTCCTTTCAGGGCTTGCGGTTAAGTCCTTGTGCATTCTCTCTTCCCTTTAATTCACACACCAGCCCCCTGGGGTTGTTATGGCAAGTACCAGTTTAGAGGGTGGGTTGCTAGAGGAAGAAGGTTGTCCCATCTTGGAGATAGTAGAATGGGAGGGAACCTCTTGAAAAAATAAATTTTAAGTTCTTTTGTAGAGATTGACTGAGCTTTTGATGACTGGAGCTTTATGCCATATGTTACAGTGGAAACGACAACATGCTTGAGGCATGGGAACAAGAGAGCATGTAAATCAGCAGGGAAAATGGGACCTGTGGGCGGAGGATGCCTGGGAAAGACGTTCAGTACAGACGATGTTGTTAGTGATGAACATGAGAGTAGAGAGGATGCTGCTTTGGAGATGAAGGAGAATACAGTCTTACATAGGAAAAATGGGGCTTTGAAGTGCTCATGAATTAGTTCACTAGCCTTAAATAGAAGTATCAAAAAAAGAAAGTCTATCTTCTATTAGTTGGTATAATGCGAAATTATTTCTTCTGTCTTTATATGAACAGCAAATTGTTAGGGTGGAGCAGAGGAAGGACAGCTAAGTTTCAGCAGCAAAATATTTAATTTTGTGGATGCTTTTCAACCTTATTTCTGCAAAACGCAGACTGTGCATTACAGAAACTCAGATTCTGATGCAAACTATCAGCATTATTTGCAGTCTGCTTTATAAGGATTTATTATTATTATTATTATCTTGAATGAAAACATTAAACCTTTGACGTTTCTTTTTTCAGTACTTCTGAGAGGATACAAGTGGTTGGTTTGTTACTTGCTCCAAGAGAGTTTCCAGAAGCTGAGAAACCAAGAAAAATGTGGTTGCAGTGAATTTGAGGCAAGGAACAACAGTCAGGTAAACACATTGTATGATTTTATGTTGCGGAGCAATTTCATGCACGGGGCTATTTTAATGGACGTTGCCTTTTTTCGCTGCCTCTCCCCTACACATACGCACTATACATTGCACACTTCCTTTCACAAAAATATGAAAAGTAAAGCACCTAGGACCTCAAACTCAGCTGGAGCTAAAGTTCATGCTTTGTTGTGCAGCAACTAAGTTAAAAAGAATAAACCCTGCCGTCAGGCTTACAGCCAAATAACCTCCTGCATGCATTTTTTACTTTAAAAGAAATAACTAGTGAGATTAACACCAAGTGATGGAAAATGTGATCTAGACATCAGGAGATTTCTTGTGTAATGAGCCACAACCTTCTTTCTCCCAAATGCTGGGCTGAAACCTTATGGAATGTGTCCAGGGCACCCCAAGTCCTGCATTAAGTTTTGTGTCCAGGCAGTAACAGTTCCTTCCCTCTCTATGACAACAATAATAATTCAGTTCCATGCCCACTATGCTGTTGCCTTTCCTAAAAGCTCATCCAAACTTGAGGCAGAAAGATTCCAGTGAATATGGGAACAGGGATGGATTTAGGGCTTTGCAAGCGATGCTCATGCACTGGGTGCTGAGCCAAGGGGGCACCATCTCAGAGCCCAGTAAGTGAGGGACTGGGCTTTGGGAAGGAGGCACAGGGCTCTGAGAAGGTCCTAGGGTCCTCCTGCCTTTCCCCCAAAGCCTAGTTAGCACTTCCCAGCTTTGGGAAGGAGATGGGAGGGCTCTAGGACCCTGCCAGAGCCCTGTGCCTCCTTTCCCAAACCCAGTACCTCACTTAGCCATCTTTGGGAAGGCAGTGCAAGGGCTGGAGAGGGGACACCAAATTTTGGCCTCGCACATCGTGCTATAGTACTCAAGTCTGCCACTGGTGGGAAACGAGTATGACTAAAGCCTTTGGAAGAGAGTCAAAGGTAGAGAAGAGGTGCTGAGGATGGTTACAAGTGAGTGTGGATCAGGGTATCGTTGCTCCATCAGGAAGATAACAGAGAAGGGGCAGAGCATGAGACAATAATGGGAGAAGGAGCAGAAAAAATCGGCAAAGTCAGTCCAGTGTTTGGACTTCCTCCAGAGATGCCCAGCAGCTCCAGCACATGAATGGGCATGTCAAATAGTGGGGGTAAGTCAGGAACGGATACTAGCGAAAAAAGGGGAAAGTGGGTCATGGTGGCAGACCAATCCAAATTAAGGGTTCATGAAGCTAGAGGTTGGAAATGGACGTTTCTAAAGAGCTGGAGGGACCAATATTATCACTTAGTTATGGTGGTTCATCCTAGTTTAATATTTGCCAAGGTACCTACAGCGTATTAAATACAGCAGAGAGTCCCACGGTGCTGTTACTCATTAAGGTACCACAGGGCTTCCTTGTTTGCTGCAACAGACTAACACCATGTGAGGTACCCCTGGAGGCAGGATTCAAGGCCTTCCCAACCAGAACTCCAGAGACAGTGGCCTCGTTCTCAGGCCCAACCACTGTAAGGAAGCTCCGGGGAGGAACAAGAGAATTGCAGATGACGGATTAGTGATGAAAGTTGCAAGACATGATGCCCAACCTTGCCTCATATTACAGGAAGAGATGTTCAGCTGGGGTGTTGAGTTCTATATATGCCACCAGCATTCCTTCACACAGTTGCTTCAGAGTACAATCTGCATCACTTTTATGCAGCACAGATTGCCCTGAAGGATAAAGAGAGGATAGTAAGAATGGGCCTTTCAAATTCTTTTTGGGTGCCTTTTACTTAACTTTTGAACAGTTAGTAATCTTTGCCTGGATTTGTAGCTATGGTTGAATTTTTCTTTCTTTCTTTTTTCAAGGTGTACTATTGTCGTTCTTTAGCTATAGCTTTTATTGAGCACACTGTTTTGCAAAGATATCATGACTACGTTCACAGTTCCAACACACCAGCTAGCCTCCAGCCGGTACTGAAGAATATATGTTCGCTGTATGGATTATGGTCTTTAAATAAGCACATGTCAGTGCTCTACCAAGGTGAGATCAACGTCCTGCCTACATGGTAAAATTTAGAATCTGCAAACACTTCAAGGCTCTTACAAATTTACTACTGCATTTAAGTAAGTAAGTTGAGCCACACAGTGTAGTTTCTGCACCAAGGAAGCAGTAAATGTGTTATACAGTCTTACAGCTCTGGTCTTTTAGCCCCAGTCCTCTTCTACTGCACAGCTCAGGGGAGCTGTGTTTTAAGATACAATACTGAATTTCCTAAACCTTTTCTTCTGACATCCAGCCTCTTACAAAACTTGCCTTAAGCTGTGGAGTGCAATCTTCTTAAAGGCAAAACTAGCAAGGTAACTAAAGGCCCCATCTGCATTGCACATCTCAAGCAGTACCATACCACTTTAAACAGCCATGGCTTCCCTCAAAGCATCCTGGGAATTGTAGTTTAAGTGTGCTGAGAGTTATTAGGGAAACCCCATTCCCACCACACAGCTACAGTTCCCAGAGTTCTCTGGGAAGAGGGATTGATTGTTAAACCATTCTGAGAATTGTAGCTCTGTGAGGAGAATAGGAACTCGGAGGTAGAAAACAAAGTTTTTGCCTCATCTCTGTCTGTTCCTCCCAGGACTGTTGCCGACCATGGCCAGCTCAGCTTTGGCACTCGGCAGTATTCTTCACTTTCCAGAGAGCCACAATGAGGCACTTGGACACCAGATTCCAAGTCCTCTTCCCATTCAGCCATGAAGGGGAAACCTGCTCACTTTTAGATAACATTCTTCATACCCCACAGATCTAGGAGATTTTTTGATCCAAAATGAGTCATTTAGCTTCATTATCATGGTAAATATCTTTCAGGTGGCTACATTTCAGGTGCAAATGCTGGCAGATTTGTGCAAGATGCAATTCTAGAACTGTGTTCCAAGGTATGTTCCTGATTGGTTTAAATATTATGCTGAGTAACCTGTAGACTAAGAGTAATGCTTTTATTTGGAAGTTGGCATCCTGGCTGGCAAGAGCCCCAGACTCTGAGCTTCCTTTAAACAAAAAGTGCACGTCTCTAGCCTTTAGATTGAAATCTAGGAAGTAAAATGTGTGGGCATCATTCAAAGCAATTGGTTTGCAAGGTATATGAGCCTACTCTTGCCTTTCATTGTTGTTAGCTTATGAGTGAAGTCAGAGCTGTGATTGATGAGCACGACAGAAAAATTCGGAGGCATACAGGCCCAAGTGAAGACCCCAAAATGACCTGGGACATCCTTCTTAATGTTTTATTTTTATTTTTAAGGAAACCCCCAAAATAGTTGAGCTTTTTTTACGCTTGATTCCTGCATTGCAGGGGTTTGGACGCGATGGCCCATGAGGTTCTATGAAAATGAAAATTGGAGAAGATTATGGAGCTATCCATATTATAAATCTGAAACTGCTGGCTGTTAGTGGCTTGCCAAAATAGTTATGCTACAGCTCTGTAGTTTATTGCTTGTTGTAGAAACCTAATCAGAATACCCAGTTTCTAGTCTTAACTTTTTTCCCTACGCAGCTGAAGCAAGAGGCTGTGGCTTTGGTAGATGTGATTGCTCCTCCGGACTTCATTCTCAACTCGCCAATTGGCAAGGCTGATGGAGAGGTAAACAAATCTTTTTGCAAAGCTCTGACTCAGGTTTACTGTGACTCTTTTTGAACTTTGTGTTTTCAATATTTGTGCTTTGTCGTGCCACAGTTAGAAACTGTGTGTGTTTGGGAGTGGCAGAAAGGGAAGACCAACAGTCTAGCAGCATGAATATATGTTGCATTCTTCTGATGCTGGAAGTAAATTCACTCCAGACTGCACATTCCAGCCTTTCTGATCCTTGAGTTTGAGGCACCTCTGCTTGGGGAAGGTAACCGTTTTAGAAGAGGTGTCCAGGAAACCGTTTCACCAGGCCAAAGTAAATGAAGTAACTTAACAAACTGAAGAACTTTGACTGTAAGCACAGGCTACAGAGGAAACTATATGATGTGCTCACCAGCTCTTTGATAATCTCGGAACCTGACTGCATTGTTCAGACTCTGCAGCTCAATTCAATTTAGCCATAATGTTCTTTTGAAATGATTTATCTGTTTATTTACTCTAAACATTGGTCTTCTCCTGATGCCTTGATACCCACAAGTGGGCCCTAACACAAGCTGTGGTGGCGTCACCATTCCCTCTTTTTTTATCTAGCTTTTGGGGGTTTTAAGGAGAGAGGCAGAAATATGAACGGAAAATAATATAGTGCAACTGACTTTCAGGGTTGGTGTGTTGTGCGACAAGCACACAGAATACAATGAGATTGAATGTTTGGGGGGAAGGCTCAGTTAATTTCATTGTACACTGGTTGTACATTGACAATAAAGGTATTATTAGGATTATGAAGTTGAGAAACCCTGAGAAAAAGAGTGAGGGAAGGCAGAGCTCTTTTCCTTTCATTTGCTGCATAGAAAGGAGAATTTTAGCAGGAATTTTAGCCTCTGCTGAATGGCACCTGCAAGAATTCTCTGTTGTGTTGAGTCACCCTAGAAAAGAGATATGGGCAAATGTAAAGACACAGGGAAACTATTAAATGAAGGTCTCATTGTGCCTCCTTGAGATCAAGGTGACACCGCTGCAAAGACTGAACATTTTGGAAATGAATGCTGTTGCTGAAACCATTTCTGTTTTCCTCCCCCTCCAGCTGTATAAAAACCTGTGGAGCACCGTTCTTCAAGGCAATAAGGTGTTGGAGAGGCCAACCTGGTGGTCAGAATTTTGTACTAATAAACCTGTTGTAGGTAGGCTAAGATCAAGAATGTAAATGTAAATTGGAGAGGCCCAGCAAGGGCGTGGATAATAAATCGTAATCTGAAATTATTAGTTAAAGGATCATGTTAATTTTTGTGAAGGAAAGGCCTTTGAAATAGGATTTCAGCCCATTTCCATGACTACTGGCACAGTGAGGGACAGTGCAGCCCAGTTTACACCTTTCCCACCTGCGTCAGTCAGTCAGGATTTGCGGAAATGAAGTCACTTTAAAATGGGCTGCTACTCAGAGCCTGAAGTGGCCATGATAGTTGAAGTCTGGATTCCAGGTATGGAAATAGCTATAACAAATTGAAGGAAAATTATACCTTTGCAAAGTCAGCAGTGTGCTCTGTTCATGTAAACTTATGTAGTTCGCTTAGAGTTCCTGCAGAGGGCATGCACAATTTCGCCCAAAGACCTAAAACAAGTTCACTCTCCTGGAATACAGAGCAGATAAGGACTTTCTAACTTTGATTAATTGTCGTATCTTGTACATCTGTAGTCAAATGTTTTTATAGTTTCTTGTTTAATTCATGGTCTAATTGAAGTTAGTGAAAATGTTGAACTTTATATCACCTTACCAACAGTCTGCACTTTTTATCCGCACTTTTTAATTTTAAGTGTAAGTTGGTGTCAGAAAATCCTAATCTGTGAAAGGTAAACATAATATATATTATACCTGCTACATATTTTGGGGGAAATGTTTTGTGCTGACAAGATACAGCAAATGTTAACAATGATGAATAAAATAGTTTTATTTTATATGCATTTTTTTAAATCCATAAAATTAGTGAACATTTCTACTTTAATTTTCTGCTACACCATTGGTTCCCTTTAAAAGGATAAAAATGCTGAAAATAAAAAAGCAGTTTGAAGTACGTTCTTGAATGCTGAGTGCAGAAACCTCAGCCTCTCACAAGGATCTTTTCTGTTCACACTGTTCAGAAGACCGTTGTTGTTTTCAACAAGGTAAAGTTAGCATGTTATTTCACAAGATGACTTTGATAGATGTCAGAGAGAATGGCTTCAACCTTACCTCTTCCTGACCTCTAGTTTTTATGTGCAGAGAATGCACACAAGAGCATTCAGTCATTTCTGCAGCTTGTGTCCACAAACACATTGGCCACCTCCAGGAAAAACAAGTCACGAATTCTGACTGCACACTCTGAAACCAAATATTGCGTAGAACGCTTTTATTATTTATCCCAATGCCTATGCGGGGATGCGGGTGGCGCTGTGGGTAAAACCTCAGTGCCTAGGACTTGCCGATCATATGGTCGGCGGTTCGAATCCCCGCGGTGGGGTGAGCTCCCATCGTTCGGTCCCAGCTCCTGCCCACCTAGCAGTTCGAAAGCACCCCTAAGTGCAAGTAGATAAATAGGTACCGCTTTATAGCGGGAAGGTAAACGGCGTTTCCGTGTGCTGTGTTGGTGCCGGCTCGCCAGAGCAGCTTCGTCACGCTGGCCACGTGACCCGGAAGTGTCTCCGGACAGCGCTGGCCCCCGGCCTCTTAAGTGAGATGAGCGCACAACCCTAGAGTCGGACACGACTGGCCTGTACGGGCAGGGGTACCTATGCCTACTGCCTCCATTACCTGATAAGCAACACTTGGATATATTCCCCTACCAACAACCAGCACTGGGATATACTCCTGCAGTTTTGCAAAAGCTTATCTGCTTCTTCCTTTCACAAATCACTTTTGATGACAAGCACCTTTTACAAATCTGGAAACAGAGTCAGAGATTTTACTGATTACCTGCAAAATGTACTTTAACAGAATTGTGGCCTATTATCCAAGTGGACTTGCCACCTCCAGGTTTTACTTACTGCAGGTTCATCCATGGAAGTCACATTTATTTCCTGTAGGATCATGTACATCAGCACGCAGTTCGAGCATAACCATCACACAGTGCTCTGCCTGTTCTGTTTCCACTATGCTCTAGTTCTTGTCTTTAAAGAATGCAAACATAGGGACACGAAGAACCAATTGAGTTTTAGGTTTTTTTCTATAGGAAACCTGAGAAAATGGGTTCCTCGGTTTTATTTCCTGGGATTTCTGCTGTTTTCACAAGCGTTTTGGGTAAAATTGTGTGAGTGGTGTGTGTGTGTGTGTGTGTGTGAGAGAGAGAGAGAGAGAGAGAGAGAGAGAGAGAGAGGCAGAATAGAATGAATGGAAATTGTGGTGTAGCCCCCTTTGGTTAGCACCCAGAACCAGGTTCAAGTGTATAGGGGATATTCTGACTAACAGCCACACTAATCTCTGTATCAACCGGAGATTAAAAATATAAGGTGCAGTACACAAATAGATTTTAGTCCAGAATGTTCCATCTTCTCCCAAGATGCTGCTATGCCAAAGGAAGTCTGTGCCCTTAGGCTTTACTGACAGTTTGGGGATGCAAGCAATGACAGCAGAATTTGAGAGCCATGCAGTAAGGAATTCCAAGCAGCAGGTGGCAGCAGAGAGGCTGCAACCCCAACTGGGGAGCCTCCAGTAGGTGGCAGCAGAGGGTGGTTTCTGTGGCTCTGGAGCTGAAGGCAGTAAAAATGGCTAAGCTGAGTCTAGGGTAGTGCTAAGCTTCCCCTCCTGGGTCAATTTCAACTGGTAGTTTTTCAGCCAAAGAAGCTCAGCATTCCCCTCTAGTGGAAGCATTCTACAGGAGACCAGTTCAGACCTTCCAGCTTCTCTTCTTCACAAGCAGGAAATGCCCTGTCTCTCTGAACGGATCTGTGGTCCTGCTCTCTAGAGGGCACTTATCTTCAGATCAAACCAACATCAGCTGCTTGACAAGGAGCTGCAAGTGGCCCAGGCAACCTTCGCTTTGTTAACCATTACAAAAAAATAATGGTGTGCAACTCTGTCCAATGTGCAAACAAACATGGCGTGCCGGGTTCAGACACTATGTTTTCTCTACGCTGTCTGCTTGTTGGAGAGCAGTATTCTCTACAGCTTTGCATTCTGCCCTCAGTTGAACATTTGATGTCTTGGCAAACTAGACACTGATGCCTTTAATGTTATTGTCCAAATTCTAATAGGTGCGTAACAAACAGCTGATGCACATTTGGAGAGTTGATGTGGCCTCCATGTGTAAGGACACACACACACACACACACACACCATGTGAGGCCAGGAATAACTGCCCCCTGTGCCCCTGCTTTAAAAGGGGCCTGAATTTATTAATTAATTAAATCACTCTATATCCTAGGGGCCAGCAAACTTTCCGCAGGGGGCCTGTCCACTGCCCCTCAGACCTTGTGGGGGGTCGAACTATATTTTTTTGGGGGGGGAATCCCCCTGACTCTCCCCTCCCTTCTCCACAGCACTGGACAAGCCCCAGTGGCTGCTTACCTGTGCCTTGCGAGTGGCAGGGGTTGGCAGCAGCGGAGGGACGATAAGTGGTGTGAAAGGGCTGGCTCCAGAGAGGGGCTGCTTAAAATGGCGCTCGGCCAACAGTGGCTCAACAAAGCCCGGCCCCCTTCCTTCTCTAGGCAGGGCGGGGAGAAGCCAGGAGGAGGGAGGGAGAGGTGCCACTGCAGTGGGGAGGGGGGAATGGCGCAGCCCAAACTATCAGAATCCCCACGCCAATCCATGCAGCGATTCCTGGACCGTCCATGGGTCAAATCCAGAAGGCAATTGGGCCAGATCCGGCCCCCGGGCCATAGTTTGCCAACCCATGCTATAGCCCATCCTTCCTCCTGAAGGTGCCCAGGGCGGTGAAATGTGCTCCTTTGACTCATCTTAAGCAGCAGGTTGAGGGCAGACAAAAGGAAAATACTTCATCATTAACGAGGAATTTGCTGCCCAAAGATGTGATGGGCACTAGGTGAGATGTTCTAAAAATAGAAACACTTCCTTTTATATGGGGGTGGGGTGTATTTTGAGCAGTTGAAATGATAGTTGTTACAATAAAGATTATATCATCATCATCATATGTTAAGCATATGTTAGAGTTGGTGGAGATCCAATAAGGTGTTATTAGAATGTTATATCTCAATAGTTGGAAATAAAATTCCTATTAAAAATGTTTAATATGGAATAAAACTCATAGAATTTGGATGAAACCATTTTACTGGATATGTGAGACATCTTGTCAGTGATTAATGGTTTTGAGGAAACTATGGCAGCTCAAGGGACTCCACTGTAGAGTCTGTGCAGCATAATCTATTGTACATCTAATGTAATGAATACCTTATGGTTTAGGTTAAGCAAACATACTTTTAAACGCACAAGGGTTGAGAGTGATGATACCAGTACTTTGGCTACCTGTTGCCCTGATACTTTTCTATGGTACCTGTAGGGAATAACCCAGGCTATAGAACTTTAGGAAGTTCTTATGCACCTTGCCTTGCAAATCTTCTGGCTGGATCTATGATTTCTTACTGCCTCACCAGAAATCTCATCTCGAGCCAAACCATTGTGTGCAACAGCTGCCCTATCTGGACCCTCTGGCTTGGGGTGAGAGAGTTGGGCTAGACTTCACATATTATATACTGGAGACATATATCCCCACATGGGGCTAGGCAGATCCAATGTGTAAATTGGCCTTGCTGGCAATAGCAGGGTTTAATTTATACCAGGGGCCATATTTGAATGGAGCAAGTGCTGAACCGCCAGTAATATGGGCTCCACCTACTGACTCACTCCCACCCAAGCCAAAACAAAGGCAAAGCTCTTTAATCCCCTTTTCTACAGTGGGAACAAGGCTTTGGCAGAGCTGCTCTCCATATGTGCTTCATCTGCTCAGGGCCTGGGGACCAATGGGAGCTTTTCTTTCAAGACTTAACTGCTAATAATCACCAGGATCACAGCAAAGGAGGGAAGAGCTGAAGCATTTGTAATAATTCAGTCGTTTACTGTGGAACTCCCTGCCTATTGATATCAAGCAGGCACTTTCGCTTTCTTCTTTTCAGCACTGGCTAAAAACACACTTGCTTAGCAGTGCTCATATGAATTTTAATCTGTTTGAGTATTTTAATTTTTTGTATGTTTTAAAGTATTGTAATTTTTTCTGCGTTTCCTTGTTTTAACTTTTTGTAAACCACTTTGAACGAGGAGAAGAGGACAGCAGAGGACGAGATGGTGGGACAGTGTTCTCGAAGCTACCAGCATGAGTTTGACCAAACTGCGGGAGGCAGTGGAAGACAGGAGTGCCTGGCGTGCTCTGGTCCATGGGGTCACGAAGAGTCGGACACAGCTAAACAACAACAAACCGCTTTGAAGTTGTGGGTTTTTTACACTCAAGCGGTGTATACATTTTGTGAATAAACAAACAAACAAACATTTTAAAAACCTATCCTGCTTGCAAGGGATAGATTTAGTCTCATGTATAGTTTGGCCCTTTCTGAGGCAGATAATGTGGGTTGAATTCTTTCTGGGGGCCTTCTTTGTTTTTGCCATTTACTCTGGAGGAGGGAGTTGCGGGTTAACAGCCCTTTGTTTGTCTCACTTGTATGATAAAAAGCAGCTGATTTGCCAACTTTGGGATCAAGGACCTCGCTGGCAGCCGGCTGGCAAGCCTCAGGGGAGGGGCAGAACTGTTACCTGCAGGTATAAGCTATTACCGGTATTTTCTGATAAATATTTGACATGTCTCACTTAAAGCCAGATTTAAAATGATATAAAGGATATGTCAGCAGATCTATCAAATGTTCTCTTTTTGAAGAAGCAGCCATATAAGGGGGTTGCATTGGAGCTGTTGCATACAGCTGGCGGGGGGGGGGGATTGCATATGCAAATTGCCCCACCCCAGAGCGACTGTTAGCTG